TGGTGGTGGTGGTGGTGGTGGTGGTGGTGGTGGTGGTGGTGGTGGCACCAACGATCCCTCAAGCTTCATTCTCAAAGGCAAAACTACTTCCCAATCCAAAATTTAGCGAGTTAGTCTTTCAATTTCTAGCACGGATTATAGGCCCTTTTTGCCATGCACAAATGAATTCGACCACAAAACCCACCAACCGACATCGTGTTTACTGTTCCGAAAGCCATAGTTTAATTGGTTGCCTTGGCAGAAACAACTAAATAAACACGCCATTTTCGCCCCCATACATATCTGGTAATTGAACTTTCTCTGATTTAGGTACGTTTAAAAGAAATCATTTTCATTGTCATCAGTTGGCCAAGTTTATTTTGATCCCTCAAAACTGATTTGCATCTATGAAAAACACACACACGTCAATGGGTAACCCTTGGAGGCATCCGTTGAATCCAGGCTGAAGGAATGGTCATCGTATTTTTGTACTTCAGTGTGGATAACAACTTTACAACACAATTTTATTAACCAACTTGCAAGTAGTCTCTTGTTAGTACGCACTTTTTAAGGGGTTAAAAGTGGTAAAACACTTGGGAGATGAGCAGTAGAAATGCCTGCTGTGAAAGCAACTGTCGACTTATATTTCCTAGGTTAAACTGTTAGCTGGCTTTTACCTACTTTTTGACCTACCAGCTGCTGACAGGGCAGCCATCCGCCACTGACTCTAGTTTTTTTGCTTTATATGCCATTGCTTAAAGTAAAAGTGCTCTTAAAAATAGCACCACCATGGGCCAATCAATTGCCAAACTCTACAATGTGAATAGAGGTACCATAAAAGTGCGGTTTTCACTTGCGTGTCCATAGAACGATACAAAACAATTTGGGCAAAGTCTACCTAATAATTTCCTCTGGTGGATCCCTATAGATGGCTAGTGCCCGAGGTTGTGAAGCTGACACGGACATTGAAGCGGTCCTTCGGTCGAGCTGAAGGGGAAGGAAAGGTATCACAGGAGAATCTTTACAAATGAAATGTAACGAAGGCGTAGCCAATGGAACGATTTTGTGTTAGCATAGCAGCAAACAGTAGGTAATGCGGTGTCCGAGTTCCTGGGCTACAGATGGTGTTGGCCACCAATGGGCTTTCCCATCTAACGAGTTTGAAGTTTCCACTTTGGTGGACTTTTAAGCTGGTGATAGTAGGGCAAGAAATCCGTCCTTAACATCACAAAATGAGTTCCACTAAATTGTCCCCATAGATGGACTCGGAAATGGGCAAAGGCTTACTTTAGCAAGGACTTTCTTTCACATAGAGTGAGAAAATCACAATGAACAAAATGGAGCTCGTTTCTACTCAAAACATTTTCGATGCTTATAGGCTACGTTGACAGACGCTTAAACGGGATAAATAGCCGCCACTGACCTATTGCGTTACGAATGAGTTTAATTCCACCCACTCCTTTCAACCAATGAAAATGCTTTCGTTCCGAGGCATCCTTCAGCCTACTATGATGCATCCCCAAAATAAAGCAATCCTAACCATTCTGATGAGAAGGAAATGCAATACGTAGAATCCCACCCAACTCTATGAAATGCAGTACTGAAAATAAATTAGTGAAAAGTCCCACTGTGACATAAAATAGTCTCACTAAACCCGGCTGTTGCAACACTTTGGTAGTTTAGGTCCCAGAAATTACAATGCCTTAAGTATTTCTCCAATAAAATATATATATCCTGTCATGTTATTTCTTATGAGAATAGAGCAAAGGTTCTGTGTCGAAAAAGATGTGCTTTGATAAGTAATCGTTTGACTTTCTATTTAAGATTTGAGCTTCCGATAAGCAGCACGACCGGCTTCTACAATAAACAAACACTAAATTTAAGATAAACAAGAGCCAAAAATCACCACATCTCACCCTGATAGTCGGTTGCTTGGCATTTTCGACATTCCACAAGGCCATGGGTTCAGCCAATCGGGAGAGAGATTTGCCAAGGTCACTGGCACCAGATCGCATAGATGGGAGGTTAGGGAGGTCGGTAGGGCTGCTTGCGTCGCGGTAGATTTGAAGCCCAATCGATGGCTTCTGTGATTGAGACAAAAGTTGTGATTTGGCTCCCACACTACGCAATCCTCGCTGTTCAGCTGTAAAATCCAGAGAACAAAAGCAGCTTTAAATGATGCAATTGATAACTAAAAAATTTGTGATAATTTATCCAATATCTTCAAGATTGGATAAATTGAGCCGCCGCAGATTTAGTCAACCATAAAACTAACCAATCT